CACATCGTGGTTGGGGAGATGGCTTCTAGGGCTGGGTCTGAAACCATGTTCTTGCTTCTGGAGGCTGCTCGAAGGCCCCCTTCTTCATATGAAGGTCAACAGTTCGCAGGACTTCTAAGTGGTAGCCATTGAACTTTCAAGGGCCCAGCTCCCGAGAGCTGGAACCCTATGGGGGCCAAGTGTAGGGTCTTCCAGGAGAGCAGAGAGAAGGCCCTGTTGGACAGTGGGTCTGGTTGCCCCCCCTGCTGGAGAGAGAAGAAAAGAAGGTGAGGGGCCAGTAGGGCCGGGAGGAGTCAAAGCAGCGGAGGGAGGGGAAGGAGGGCAACTCACTTGGTATAGACATACAGCCCCGCCTCTTCTCCCCTGGAATAGACAGCTTGGTGAGCCTTCATGTAGACAGACCCTCACACCCCAAACACCCCTTCCCGCCAGGCTCTGACACTGGCCGTTCCCATTCTCAGTCCATCTTTCCCTTCCCCTAAATGCAAACTTCTGGCTTCCTTTCCTCCTCCTTACCCCAGGAAATCTTCCCAGATAGCCTATCCATCCCTGCTCCCTGCCTAGCCCCAGTCACTGCTCCACTCTGTCCCTGCCTCCCCACTTGGGAATAGCACAGATGTATCCTGTGGACCCGTTAAGCCCAGGGCCTCCTGAGATCCAAAGCAGCATTCCTGTCACTTCCCTCTCCTTGATGATCCCCTGGACTGGGCTCTTTTGCTCTATTAGACTCTATAGCACATGGAACCTTTTGAGCACATTTACAGAATCATTTGAGACTATGCACAGATCTGGAAAACACTGACAGGACCTTCTAAGAGCTGGTAGGACCTAAGTCACGGAGAACCGTAACTGCAGCAGACTTCTACCTTAACCAACTAGATCTCCTGAAGGTCCTGGGGATCGATAGGGACATCTTGGCTTATTTCACCCTCTTTGCTAGTCCTGCTTCCCTCATGCACAGCTCACCACCCAGATAGGCGCAGTTAAAGTGGCTGCAGGTCTTATTTTGGCTCCAGAGAGTCACTAGGCTCCGGGCTCCATCTTGGGAGAACCTGGTAACCAAGAAGACTTCGTGGGGAGGGATCAGCACCTCGCGCTCCTTGGGAAAAACAGACAGGGCCTCGATGGGGGCCCCAAAACAAGTCCTTAGGGAGAAGAAGGTGGCATTACCAAACCTGAGGGCCACTGCCTCATCCAGGGAGCTGGAGGCAAACTGGCCCAAGCGGATAGAGTCCCCCAACCTCTTGGGTTCAAAGCGAAGGGTGCCTACACCTCGGAACACCACCTGCCCGGGTCCCCTGCTGCAGCCCTTGCTCCCCTGTAGCAACTGCAGGGCCCGGGTCAGGTAGAAATGCAGGGCCTTGAAGGGGAAGTGCCTCATGTAGTACTCCCGGGAGACACCGCCTGTCTGCACCGCCTGGTTCAGCTCCCAGTACAGGTTGTTAGATGAGTTGGTGTAGACCATGATGGCGATTCCATGCTGGGATTTGAAGCCAGGGGGCAGTGTGAGCCCTCGCTGCTTCCGCTCCCAGGCCTCCTGGGCTGCCTCCCAGGATTCCCGCAGCAGCGCATGGCGGGCCATCTCCTCCTTCAGCAGAAGGGCTGCCTTCTCCTCCATCTCCTCTGCGCAGCCCACATAGGCATCATCGAAGGTGTCTGGAGCCAGGCCCAGGAGCAGGATGGGAACAGCCTGGGCCTAATGTGGTAAGGAAGAGAGGAGCCACACAGGAAAGGGTATAAATTCAGCGCATTGGACAGGGACCTGGTGGCAGATCAGTTCGGAGACACAAAATCTCATTTTTCATGCCCAAATATCTGGTGTATACAATTTGGCAAGAGCCCAAGGGCTTAAATAACACAGGCACTGGAGTCAGAGATGGGTTCATCACCTACTAGCCGTGGGATCTTGGCCAGTCTCTTAACTCTTCTGGGCTTCAGGTTCTCCACCTATAAATGCATACTTCCAACCCCATTGGGCTATCATGAGGCTACAACCTAAAAGGGGCCATCTTGTCATTAAAGAGGTCCCCACACTCAGAGGGAAGGGGGGCTAGCTGGCTTCCAAGCGCTGTTCTGGCTCTAAGACTCAGTGTGCAGATGATGCACAGATGTGCCACTGTGTCCCAATTGCCTGACCCCGCCCCCTCCTCAGACTCTCCCATGCAGTGCTCAGCCACCACACCAAATCCCTGTCAGCTCTGAGACTCCGAGTGTTCTCCCGCGGTCACCCCCAGACCTGGGGAGGGGTGGGGAGGAGCCCTGGTCCCGGGGTGGCCCAACCCACTTTGCTAGACTGAGCCTGAGACGGGGAAATTAGGGGTGAGGACGTTAGAGGCCGTTCCTAGGGAGGGATGAGTATGCGGGAAGGAGGATCACAGGAGGACCAGTGGGTGAAGATGGGGGTTCTGGTAGAGGCAATGGGAACTGGGGGCTCCCTGCAGGGAGGAAGGCTGCAGAGAGGAAGAGGATTAAGAGGACCGGGGTCTTAGAGAACAGCCCCTGGGAGAGATTTTTGAGGAGTTCGCCCCCCAGCTCTTTCCTTTGTGGCCGGGGATGGTTCCCCCAGTTACCTGCCAGAAGGCGTGAAGGCCCAGGCAGCTGAGGGTCAGCAGCAGAGCAGCCTGCATCATCTCTGGGGCAGACAGGAGAGCGAGGTCCGGAGGCGGGTGGGATCAGCGGCAGCGGTGGAGCCTTGGCTTCAGCGGGCTGGAGGAGGAGACCCACACCTTTTCTTCTGTGGAGTAAAGAAGGTCCAGGACGCGGGGTCCAGGCCTGGGCGGGGCCCAGGGAGTGGGCAGGGCTTGGGGATTACTGTCTCCGCCCCCCCGACCAGCACAGCCCCAAGTCTCGGCTCCTCCGACTCCCGGATGCCCCTACACTCCGTGCCTCTGCCTAAATAACTTTTTGCCCTGGTCCAGGTGATTTGACTCCACCTGGCGAGGGGCGGGGCAGGGACCTGGCACCCACCTGGAGGTCAAGGAGGCCGAGAGCGCGGCAAGGTGTGGTCAGGCCAGCGGGTGCCGGTTGGTCGGTGTCTGGACGGGCCGGGCGGGTCCCGGGAACCCAGCGGACCCGCTGAGTCCCACAGCTAACTATAGCCCCCGGGCAGTAACCCAACACCTCTCTTGCCCAACGACAGACGCTGTGGCCGAGGGAGCAGGAGGGGTGAGGAAGGGGCTGAACGGCTGACTCCCCTCCCCAAACTGCGAGTTCTTTCTCCAGGACCCTCTTCAGCTCCAAGCAATTCCAGGGCTGGGGGAGGGAGCTGGTGAGACTTGGCCGCTCCCTCCGGGGTGCCTAACCAGGTAACCAGACCCTTAGGCCCGGGAACCCAACGAGGGCAGCC